AAAGCCTCCAAAAGACTATGAGGCATCAATCCCAACCATTCTTCACTATATCTAACTTATAAAGTCAATGCTGTGAACATACAAATATTGATTTAAGCCTACCTAATCTCTTACCTAGAAAAGTGTGCTTACAAAAATACAGGGTCTACTTTCTAAATTAATCAAGTTAATTTAGATTAATTAAATTAATGAATCACTGGCTGGATTCCCAGCTGACAGGATTGACCATGTAGGAGCTCAAGGCCAATGAGAGAATTTGAAAGTATGTGTCCAACTGAACATCAACCTCTGACTACCTTCCACACAGAAGACTGAAGATCTGCTCAACCAAAATTTACCAAAATCTCTCAAATCCAGTCAGGAGTCCCCAGCTGGCTGATTACAAAGCTGTGCTCAGTTTGGTCATGTCCCACTCCAAAAACCTCACCTCTCAAGATGATGGGAAACTGGAGAAGGATGACATCAGAAACCATGTGCAACACTATTTATCCGCACAGAGATTTTGTCAGCAACCAACTCACCAAGCCCACACTCAAGAAAGCTCAAAAATCAGAAGTCTGTTTAACAGCTTTTACCTCGACCTCAAAGTTAAGGTATGTCGGAACAATACATAATTTGAAGAAGCAAAAAAAAATCAATGTAGGATAACTGCCATTTGATAATTTTGATAAATATTTATTTAATGTTTTATAACACCTATATTTATACATTTGATAGAGGCTATTTAAACTCTGAATTTAGTATTTAAAACATTCTATCCATTATTATATATTCAGAATACCATCTGTGATTCATATCCCATGAGTATGTAGCTTTTAAATACTGCATATTTTCACCTCATACTACATAGTAAACTATTAATTTCCTATTAATGCAGGTAATCAAGAACTGAGTAATCTGCTAAATATTGGAGGCTACTTCCTAATGTTTTCTTTGGGGTCCATTTTACCTTTTAACCAAAGCTTATAATGACGTTATTTTGGTATTTTAACATTAATAACTAAAGCCACTTGGAGATCATCCAAGCCATGTGGGTAGTTCCAGAAGTGCCTTATAAACACTCAAATTTAGAGTAAAATGCATACGGTTTTGTTCCAATGTTTAGGATATCATCCAAAAAACAAAGTATCTATTATATAAACTCTTAAAATTTCCAAAGAGTTTTACTATGCAACGAAACCGTAAATTGAATTACTTTGTTCACTCCTCTTAAAATGCAAATTTATCTGTTCTCTTCCACCCACTTGAAATCTCAGGGGTTTGCAATGTAGGACCATAACACTGTTTAGTATCATTTATAAACTAGACTATTACAGAGTATTTACTGAAGTGATGTACAAGAGCTTTCATAAGAATGCAAATATTTTACCTTAAACTAAAAATAAAAGACTGATACTATTCTTTTCCAATAGCAGCATAGGAGAAAAGCTCCTGTGTCTCATCTTAGTCAAGGGAGCCTGATTCTCAAACTCTTATAGTCCTACTTTCTCACATTTTCTAAACCATCTGATTTTGCCGCTACAGTCTCAGACTACTGCCAACTCCCTCATTCCATCCCATCCCTACAGACCCCGTTACTCACCAACTAACCAGCCACCCAGAATCCAAAGACTGCAAATGCAGGGCTCCATTTGCCTGCTAACTCGAGCCTGACACCAAAATGTTCATGCTTTTAAAGCAATGAACAGCTGTGTCACTCTTAGGAAACTGCCCTACCTTCAGGCAAAGATTTCCCTTAAGTACATGCAGCTGCATCTGTCACCTTCCTCCAGTTCACCACTTGCATGCTGGTCTCAAATCATTCTACTAAAATAAACTACACCACAGAATTTTGCCCTTGCCTATAGACACGATGGTCATCTTTTCATAGGATTAGACAAAGTTTTTAAATAAATATCTCTTAATCTATTAGAAATAATACAATATATGTGCAAAGAGCAAAAGTTATTTCTTTAGTGTATTCTGTCATTTAAAATCTCTTAAAAACTTTGACTTCTCTTTTAATTCTAAGATTTCTTGGCTCATGCAACATTTTTATGTGGGAAGGAAAACACATCCCAAATAAACCATAACTTTTCTTCACTAACATATTTATTCAATTTTTGAGGTTGCAAGCATTAATAATATTTTTTCCAGGACCAAAGGGAAGAGGGGGAAATCACAAGGAGTCTAAACAGCTCGTTACATAGTTTGATAAACCTGAAAGGGTATATACCAACCAAACGAACAGTCAAAAGATTTACATTAGATGGTGAACACAACATATGTCAACATTTGATTAATGGTAATATTTTTATTTCTTGACTATGTCAGCTAAATGGTATTTATGAAACAACATGTAATAATCTCGGACACAGCAAATATCTGATGGATATTTTGAAATATACGTTTGGTTTTCAACACTATTTTCCTGGCATATTAACTCCTAAAATCCCTGGCATCTACAAAGTGATGTCTTTTTGCATGCCAAGATTGATGGCTGGCTGGCAGCCCATAGGCAGCTTCAGGATAGAGACTGGTTAACAGAAGAAAGACCAAAGCATGATGAAAGGGTTTGGCCCTAACCTCCAACTTCCAGAGCAGAGAGGGGACTGAAGGTTAAGTTCACAGCCACTGGCCAATGACTTAACCAATCATGCCTAAGTAATAAGGTCTCTTTAAGAGGTCCAATAAGAACATGGTTGAGAGGGCTTCCAGACAGCTGAAGGCATGGAGGCCGACATGAAGGTGAATAGGAACTCATCCAGGAGCCAGGAGGGCAGCATATTCCAACTCCACGGGGAGAAAGGCTCCTGTGCTCAGGACCCTTCCAGACCTCACCCTATACATCTCTTCATCTGGCTGTTTACTTGTATCCTTTAAAATGCCCTTTGTAAATAATGGTAAACATGGTTTCCTGAGTTCTGTGAGGCACTCTAGTAAATCAATCAAATCCAAATGTGGGGTGTGTGGGAACCCTAATTTGAAGCAAGTCAGACGTTCCAAGAGGCCTGGACTTGAGAATGCAGGAAGGAGGATGTAGTCTTTGGGACTAAGCCCTCCACCTGTAGTTTCTGAGTCTACCTCCAGGCAGTGTCAGAACTGAATTGGTGGACACCAATTTAACCGCTTGATGATTTGAAGAACTGTTTGCCTGGTGTGTGAAAAGAAACCCCCAAACATTTGGTTACTGAAGTCTTCTGTGTTGATTGTTGTCTAATGAGAAAAATTTTAAAAGCCTTCAGAGTTTGTTTGTTTTTTTTCCCACACAAAATCACTATCCTCAAAGTAGACTCATTTATTCATGTCCCTTCTATTGGCTTCTCTTCCTACAAATCTAAGTTTTGAGAAAAGAAGGAAATAAAGGCCTCACTAACCAACAAAGATATGGAACCAATAACAAGTAAATAAGCTGCTTTAAGTAAGCCAATAAGGTATATAAATTACCTACCACTGGTTCCAAGAGGGCAAAGGGAGGAAAAATGAGTCACAATCTATGGGTGAAGAAGACAAAAGCTGATAAAAATCTGCTTCATTTGTTTATGGTCCAGCAGCTGAGAAACACCATCCTAGTACTACCACCACCCATCTGATAACTGAAAATCTCTCTGAAATAAGCAAATAGATTTATTTTCAGTTCCTCTAAAGATGAAGCTCTCCTTATGTACTGATGCTTCCCGTCATTTCTCTAGACAGCTCTGGCTGAAGACAAAGCCTTTTATCAAGCAAAACATGGTCTCCCTCTAACTTTAACATAGCGCTAGTTCTACTACCCCAAATCACACAGAATAAGCTTAATACAGAATGTTAAGGCTCTGAAAACAGTTCAACACTGCTGTCATGACCCCTAAACTCTCCAGGAAAAAAATAATTCTAACACTTTTCTTTTTTTTTTTTTTTTTTTTTGAGGGGCAGTTTTGCTCTTGTTGCCAGGCTAGAGTACAATGGTGCAATCTTGGCTCACTGCAACCTCCACTGCCCAGGTTCAAGTGATTCTCCAGGCACCAGCCACCACGCCTGGCTAATTATTTATATTTTTAGTAGAGACAGAGTTTCATCATGTTGGTCAGGCTGGTCTCAAACTGCAGACGTCAAATGATCCAACTGCTTCGGCCTCCCAAAGTGCTGGGATTACAGGCATGAGCCGCTGCACCCGGCCAACTCTTTTCTAATGCAATTCATGATCATGGGTAAGAACTCCCAATTTTCCTTATTTACAAGTTTTCTAAATCCTCTAAGTTTATAAAATGCACACATTCTAGCAATGAAATAAGCAACACACTGAATTATCGGGACTGATTACTAGTCCTGATTTTGCCTTTAAACTTCACATCCTTGGGAAAGTCCTATTTCTCTCTCTGGGCTGCAGACACTGCTGAATCATGGGCTTTCCAGTTTCAGTAGCCTGGAAGTCCATAATAAGAACAATCATTTGCAATATTGCTTTCATTTTGTTAAGAAATTTAAAATAAATATCTAACCAATTAATACTTTCATAGTATTGACAAAGGTATTTTACTTAAATTGTCTCCCCAAATAGTTAAGAGTCCTTAGAATATAATAGTGGATAGTAAGGGGGAGACAAATACATAATACAAGTAGTTATGTAGTATGTAGTTATGTATGTATGTATGCATTTATATAGGTACACAGTATAAATACCTAACTATAAGCACCATCTAAATGACCTCATAGTTTACTCTTACCCAGTATAAGCCTAAGTTTAAACATACACTTAAATATATGTTTAAGCTTAAGAAGTCATTTTTCTAGATCTATGCTATCCAATACAGTAGGTACAAGTCACAACAGACTTTGGGGACTCAGGGGAAAAGGGTGGGAAGCGTATGAGAGATAAAGAACTTCAACAACATTAAAAGACCACAAAGAATGGGCACTAACCTCACTTTATTATTCAACATTTTCTTTTATTAGCAAATAAATATTTTTTTAAAACTCTGATTAAAGGCAGACTTAAAACAATAACATTTTGAAATAACAAAGCAAAGAATTTTTCTAGCGGTGATTCTGTTGAGACAGTTACGTCTTCCCTTAATACAGTTTTGAGGTACAGGTACATGACAGCAAACAATTATACATGAAGTTCCCCCATTTGAAATAACAAGCAGTCATCATTTTAAAAGTCTATGTTGGTTGTACCCCAAGTGAAAAGTCAGCCTCAAGGTAAAGGCAAAAAAAAAAAAAAACCAAAACATACTCTTGGCAGTAATGAAGGAGCCCATCTTAAAAATTATAAAAGAAAGTACAGAAATGAGAATATAAACAAGCTTGAAACTCTTGAAATTCTGAACTGCCAATGGAACATACGGCAAGACCATGCTCTCTCACTGTCTCTCACACAGTACACATAACTCAACTCTGCAGCCATCCTACTTGCAGGTGGTACTTCATTCTTCTTCACTGATCTAGTCACTTCATACATGCATCTCCAATGTTATTTGAAGGTTTTTGGCTTCAAAAAGTCCATGCAGAACCACTCAACACTAGGAACTGAGTCAGTAACTCATAGGACTGAATAAAATATATCCCTCAATTACCAGTTTTAGATAAAGGAAGAAGAGATGGATACAAGTAATTCAGTACCCTAAATAAATAACGTAAGTCCTCAATGTATATTTATATTTTATCATCTTAATTACTCCTCTTAAAAAAATGCTGGAGTTTTGCTAACCAATACACATTCATATAAACTTTCAGCTATTCATATTGTAAGTTTACCAATAATATGCCTCACTCTAAAAAGACTCTGAGCTGGCTTACAAAAACTTATGTAGTGTGAAAGTACAAAATGAACATACAGATATAAAAGAGGGAAAAGGGTAGAAAAATAGAATACAACCAAAGAGCTGAGGTTTCTACACAAAAATGCAATTAATTACTAACACTGAGGAGCAAATAAGGCTATGAGTTTCCAGGTAGCCAAACTAAATAAAGAGGGACATATTATTAATTTTAAGATCTGCAGAGGTCATAGAGACAAATCGTTTCTGCCAACAGTATCACCATTGTAGTCTACAAATACACTTTTTAAAGAATGACTCTTTTAAGTCATTCTTGACATCACTGTCTCTCAAAACCACACCATTAACAAGGTAGGCCAGATCAAAAATATCTCCTGCTTCCCTGTCTTTTTTTTGTCTTCCTAGTATCACATCACCAGGTCTTAAATCACCTGAACCTGCATTCACGCAACACGTTTCTTGGTGGATTCCCAAACTCTTTATGTCTTTCTCCACTCCATATTACAAATTAATTCTATGACATGATTTTTTTAAATCAAAACTTCAATTTCATTCTCTTTTACTCAGTATTTAAACCTCAAACTATAGCGACTAGTAATTTTAACACCCTTCCTAGACAGAGAGCCCTAACAAATCTTACCTCCCACATGGGAAGGAGGCCAACCTGTTAAGCTCACTGTCCCAAAAATTACTATATCAAATTCTCCCCTTTTATGTTTCTGCTCCCATTCATTCTTTTACCTAAAGCCATCCCTATTTCCTTTCACCGTTCCAAATCCTATTCATTCTTCAAAGCCAAGTTCACATCCTTCCTTGAAGATGTTTTCCCGGACAGGTGCAGTGGCTCACACCTATAATTCCAACACTTTGGGAGGCTGAGGCAACCTTGAACAAGTTACTTAGGAGTTTTAGAGAGTAGCTGAAAAGACTAAATGACATCACATACAGAAATCCTTCAAAAGTTAAAAAATGCTGTACAAATATTACAATAACCAGAGAAGAAAAATAATTAGTGATAATAATTAGATTTTGCATTGGCTGTTCTTTGTAGAGATCACACGTATAGACATTGTTCCCAATTTCTGACTCAATACCTTCCTATTCTATCATATAGCTTCAAAAATTAACCACCTCCCCCCCACAGACTTTCCCTACATACCATTTTAGTTACTATGATCTGGAAAACACATTTTTCGGCCAGGTACAGTGGCTCACACCTGTAATCACACCACTTTAGGAGGCCAAGGCAGGCAGATCACTTGGGGTCAGGAGTTCAAGACCTGTCTAGCCAACATGGTGAAACCTGTCTCTACTAAAAATACAAAAATTAGCCAGGTATGGTGGCATGCGCCTGTAGTCCCAACTACCCAGGAGGCTGAGGCAGAAGAACAGCTTAAGCCTGGAAGGCGGAGGTGCATTGGACCAGGATGGTGTCACTGCACTCCAGTCTAGGCAACAGAGCAAGACTCTGTCTCAACAATAACAAAAACAAAAAACACTTTCCTCTATAAAATGGCTCCTATGATTACTAAGATGACACAGTAGTTAGGTTTATGTCCAGACATGGCCTCTTCCTATTCCCACCGGGAATGCCTTACCTAATGAGTTAATGAGAAAAGTAAACCAGTTGGAAGACTTCTACTTTCTGAATCAGAACTCAGTAAAGCTGTAGTAATCAAGACAGTATGTTACCGGCATAAGGACATACAGACCAACTGAACCAAACTGAGAGTTCAGCAATAAATCTTCATATTTATGACCCACTAATTTCCAACAAGGGTATCAAGATAATTCAAGGTGAAAAACATTCTTTTCCATGAATGGTGCTGGGACACTGGGTTTACACACAAGCCAAAAGGAATGAAGTTGGACCCCAATATCATACCACATACAAAAATTAACGGAAAAGGGATCAGAACCCAAAATGTAAAAGCTAAAACTGTAACATTCGTAAGAAAAAATATAGACTTATCTTTGTGGCCTTGGATTAGGCAATGGCTTATTAGATATGACACCATAAACACAAGCAACAAAAGAAAAAACAGATATTCAAACTTCTTAAAAAGCAAAATTTTCTGTTTCAAAGGTCACCATCAAGAAAGTAAAAAAAAAAAAAAAATCCACAGAATGGAGGAAGATATTTGCAAATTATATAATTGATGTACAGGACTTATATCCAAACATTAAAAAGACAAGTCATTAAAAAATGGAGCAGGATTTGAACTAACGTTTCTCCAAAAAAGATATACAAATGGACAATAAGCACATAAAAAGATGCTTATCCATCATCCATCAGTATATTGCAAATCAAGACCACAACAAAATACCACTTCATATCTACTATCATTTAAAAAAAAAAAGGAAAACAACAAGTGCTGTCAAGGTAGTAGAGAAATTGGGCCCTCATATACTGCTGGCAGAAGAAACTGGAACCGAAAACACTGCTGGCAGGAAACAGACACTAACTATATAACCCAGCAATTCCACTCCTAGGTATATAACCTACCAGAAATGAAAACAAGTATCTACCCAAAAACCTATACATAGATGTTTGTAACAGCATTATTAACAGTAGCAAAAAAGTGGAAACAAAATAAATATCCATCCATTGATGAGTAGAAAAATAAAACATGGTATATCCATAAATATTATTTGGTAACAACTAGGAATAAAGGCCAGAGCAATTAGGCAAGAGAAAGAAATAAAGAACATCCAAATTGTAAAGGAAAACATCAAATTAGCCTTGTTCCTAGATTACATGATGCTAAAACCTGAAGACTCTACCAAAAAAAACTGTTAGAAGTCAACAAATTCAGCAAAGTTGTAGAACGCAAAATCAATACACAAAAATCAGTACCATTTATATATGCCAGTAGCAAATAACCTGAAACAAAAATCAAGGAAGCAATCCTATTTACAATAGCTATAAAAATTATAAAACACCTAGGAATCAATCTAACCAAAGAAGTGAAAGATTCATACAAAGGAAACTATAAAACTCTGATGAAATAAACAGGACACCAAAAAAAGGAAAGATATTCCATATTCATGGATTGGAAGAACTATAATAATATTGTTAAAATGACAAAACTAAAAGCAATTTACATATTCAATACAATCCCTATCAAAATACCAATAACATTCTTCACAGAAATAGTAGAAAAAAAAATTCTAAAATTTATATGGAACCACAAGACTACGAATAGCCAAAGCAATCCTGAGTAAAAGGAATGAAGCTAGAGGCATCCTATTATCTGACTTAAAAATTCATTACAAAGCTATAGTAATCAAAACAGCATGGTACTGGCATAAAAACAAACACACAGATCAATGAAACGTATGAGAGAACTCAGGTATAAACCTGTGCGTTTACAGCCACCTCCTCTTTGACAAAAGCATTAGAACATGCAATGGGAAAAGAAGAGTCTTTTCAATAAATGGTGCTGGGAAAACTGGATAACTATACACAGAATGAAACCAGACCCCTTTCTCTCACCATACCCCAAAACAAACAAACCAAAATTGATTGACGACTTGAATCAAAGACCTGAAACACTACAGCACAATGGTCTATGTAAGAACATTCTTGTGTAAGACCTCAAAAGCACAGGCAATCAAAGCAAAAATAGATAACTGGGATTAGATCAACCTAAAAGCTTCTACACAGTAAAAGAAACAATCAACAAAGTGAAGAGTCAACACACAGAATGAAAGAACATATTTGCAAACTACCCATCTGACAAGAGATAACAACCAGAATATATAAAGAGACCAAACAACTTGACAGCAAATATATATATAAAATCCAATTTAAAATGAGCAAAAGGGCCAGGCACAGCAGCTCATGCCTGTGAGTGCTCAATACCAGCACTTTGGGAGGCCAAGGCAGGTGTATCACTTGAGGTCAGGAGTTTGAGACAAGCCTGGCCAACATGGTGAAACCCCATCTCTACTAAAAATACAAAAATTAGCTGAGAATGGTGGCGTGCACCTGTAATCCCAGTTATTCAGGAGGCTGAGGCAGGACAATTGCTTGAACCCAGGAGGCAGAGGCTGCAGTGAGCCAAGATCATGTCACTCCAGCCTGAGTGACACAGCAAGATTCCATCTAGGGGGAATATATATATATATTCTCCCTAGATGGAATATAAAATATATATATATATATAATATAAAATATTATATATATAAAATATATATTTTTATATAAAATATTTTATATATATAAAATATATATATTATAAATATATATAAAATATATATTATAAATATTATATATATTAATATAATATATATAAATATATATATTTAGATTATATATATATTGATATATATATGCATATGTGTGTATATAATATATAAATATATATATTTAGATTATATATATATTGATATATATATGCATATGTGTGTGTATATATACACACACACACACACACACACACACACACACACACAAATCAACCGAGCATGGTGGCATGTGCTTGTCGTCCCAGCTACTCTGGGGGCTGAACCAGGAGAATCACTTGAACCCAGAAGGCAGAGGTTGCAGTGAGCTGCGATAAAATCATCAGCTCTCGTGAGACTTATTCATTACCACGAGAACAGTATAGGGGATACTGCCCCCATGATTCAATTATCTCCCACCAGTCCCTCCCACAACACATGGGAATTATGGGAGCTACAATTTAAGGTGAGATTTGAGTGGGAGCACTGCCAAACCATATCGGTATATATCCAAAAGAAAGGAGATTAACATATGAAAGAGATCTGCACCCCAATGTTTACTCAAGTACCATTCACAATAGCCCAAATATGGAATCAACCTAAGTGCCCATTAACAGATGAAAGAACAAAGAAAATGTGGTATATACTCACAATGGAATATTTAATTCAACCATAAGCAAGAATGAAATCCTGTCATGTGCAGCAACATGGATGGAACCACAGGAGAAGGTTAAATGAAATAAGCAAAGCAGAGAATGACAAATGTCACATGTTCTCACTCTTAACATGAGAACTAAAAATGTAGATCTCAAAGACAGAGAGTAGGCTGGTAGTTACCAGAAGCCAGGAAGAGAAGTGGTGGGGATAAAGGCGAAAAAAGTAATATAAATGCATATTCACCAAACTTTACACTAAAAATGGCACACAAAAAAAATCATGTATGTGTATTTTACCTCAATTAAAAATCTGTTTTTTTAAAAAGTACTAATGTATGCAGCAACATGGATGAAACTTGAAAAAACTACATTTTATAAAAAATAAAATAAAAAAAATTTAAAAGCTAGACACAAAAAGCACTTATTATATGATTTCATTTATACAAAATGTCCAGATAGGGCAAATCTATAGAAACTGAAAGCAGATTAATTGCTGGCTAGGGCTGGTGGTGAAGGAGTTGGGGGGAAATGGGGAAGGAGCGACTGCTAAAAGGCATGGATTATTTTTGGGGGGTGATCAAAATACTGCAAAAAAAACTGTGATGATTACAAAACTCTGTGAGTATACCAAAAACCTAAAAGTATAAGTGAATTTTACACTTTATGTCTCAATAAAGCTGTTAAAAAATAAAAGACAAAAATAAAAAGCAGCACCAGTGTTCCATGAGCAGATCCTTGAAACACGTAGAAATAAAAGTATAAACTGCTAGTATAACTATATCTTCTTTTACTTGTTCATATCAAAATCCAAATAAATCATTTTACCTTAGTCTTTTCTTGCAAAAAGTAATAGGGATTATCTGTCATTCCCCTGACCACAAATGTAATACGAACTTTAGCAGCAGCATATCATAATAGCATTTGAACAAGTTAGCTTCTCTACAATGCAGAGGAACAAGTTGTCCTTTGGATGACAACAATTTTAATTTTAATTTTAATCTGGAGATTTTCTGGCCCACTAGCTGCCAGTTCTCCACTAGCACCAAGGAAGTATAAATGAACACACTGACATGCACAGATGTAAGACCTTGCTTTTAACAATTTATGAAGAGCTATGAAAGTCACAATCTGTAGTCATTTATAAGGAGTAGTGATACTACCTGTTAGGTCTGTAAGAATTTGACCCACTCTATCCATCTAAGCTGGTGTGCAAGGCACTGAGGTAGCAAGCAATTCTAACCAACAGCCTAGCACCTCTAACTCAGCAGTAGTATGAAAACATGTATGGATCTATGGATCTGGGAAGGCCTCAGGATAGAGCCCTTGCAAATGTCATGGGTCAGTTATGTTATCCAACATGAGAGTTAAGGCCAAGAAAAATACATTCCACTATTTACAGAAAATACTCTAAGCATATACCAAATTTCACTCAAATGATGTGTAATCTTCTATGCCTATGGCCCTACAGATTCTATGATTCTACGAGCAGAAATTTTTTCTTAGCTATAAAGTTTTGTTTTTAAATATTAACTCATTAAACTGTAAGTAATGTTTTTAAAAAGAATGGTAAATTTAACCCAGCTTCAAAAATAAAACTATCTTACTGAATTTTTACTTCAAAGACAACAATAAAGTGAGAAAAAAATCTGAAATATGTAGGGGCAAATATTTCCTATAAGAAATAATTTAATCTACTAAATCATTTGTGAGTATTCTTTAAAATAATATTTGTTTATTTAAAACCTGGAAACCATTCAGCCAATACTGTATCAGAATAACTTCCTCTAAAAATGCCTTGCATAAAACTTTACATTAAATGCTGTGATTCAGGGTGACTTTGTATTCTCAACTTGTTTAAATGACAGATTTGCATAACGCTTAAACACATACAGTTCTTTCACTATGATTCCAAAAGAAGTTTAACTAGCTATCACATAAGAGATGCAACAAAATCCAGTTTCCATCTGACCTGACATACACACAGTATTGGATTGTACCAGTCTGTTAAGGTTCCTGGAAATAGTATAAACCACACTCTAAATGGAATATGACACACAACAACCCCTACCCAGACAACAAATAGAAAAAATTGTTCTCAACTCTCTGACTGAACAGGTAAACCCACAGATGTTCCTTCACATATAACCTTTACATGTGATAGCAGACTAACAACATCCTAGGGAACCAAAAGGCAGGGTTTTGAAAGGCATGTGTGATTGGAGAGATAATCCACAAAGGGAGTAGTAGTAAGGGGATGCTTTCTACTGACATGAGGTATGACTTAACTGATTAAGTAAAGGACTATGACTTCTATTTGGCAGATAACTTTAATTGGCTCTATTTTGATAAATTAATCCATTATAGTCATTAGGCCAATGTAGGCAGTGCAGAACTTGCAAAAATCAACCACAAAAGTACTGTTAACTTTGACCAAAAATAAGCCAAACTAACACTATGACCTACCTCTTTCTGAAGATGGTAGCCACATTTGAAATATAGATGGGCAGATAAACTACAAAACACAACTAAATATTTGACACCAAACAATCCAAAGACCACAGTGATGCACTTAAACAGCACACCAAACATTCATATAAAGTAATACAAGCACACATAGAAAATGTAAAACTAGTTAATCAACACTTATGAATCAGCCACAGCACAGAGGATCTTTTGCTCCAGAGGGAGTGACACACGAAGGTAAGTAACTTTTCTCTCTGCCTGACCCAGTCCAAGCAACTGTTTTGGAATCAATAAAGGAGCCAAAACCACTGTACTGCAGACTTAGCTTCTAAAGCAAACTTACCAGCTATCCAATCCTCAGACGACAAGTGAGGATTTCCTTGTAAATTCCCAAGCCAGAAAATTAACTAAAGTAGGTATCTTTCCCGAAACTGTCTGAAGGTCTCATGTGTGACTTCTACATTTACAAATGAAAACAAACCTGTAATAAACATTTTGCTCTATTTATGAAGAGCTTACACATGAACCATTAAGTAAGGCTGAAAGACAAAGTAAACCTCCAAATTTCAGCTGACACTATAAACGTTTATTACTTTAAATAGAGCTATGGTTCCATTATTTTAGTTTACTTAAATAATAACCTTTATATAATTCCTTTCTTCAGTCATCTAATAGCAAAATTTCAGTCTATATCACTTGATACTGTATTCAGATTTCATTTACCAAAAATGATCCTTAAACAAACTCACTAAAACAAAGTTGTTTATTCTGCCAGTGATTGGGGTCGTCAAAATGTAAGCAAAAAAGTGTATAAATTAAGTATCAATTCAATTGTTCATAAAAAAGGTTACAAAAATAGTATATGTAATATATTAATAATATGTTTTTTTTTTTTTTTAAGATTCAGACCATTAAAACAAATACTATCCTCAGAAACAAAGGATGTTAGGTTTAATTCAAACTGGGGTTTTTCCACAAATCAATTCATTATAAGGATTGACCACCAAAAGCTAAACAATGATCTGCCATCTGAAACAGCTTTGATGTAATACAGTCCTAAGTGTGACAAAAAGTCTTATGTTAAAGTTTTAGCTAACAAAGAAATATTTGTTCTATTGAAACATTCTTTGAATATTATAGTTTATACACTGTACATGACTCATTTAAAGAACCATATTAGACTCATCACAAAGTAAGTCCTATTAGAACTTTTCCTACACAAAATAGTTGTCAAATAGCCAACTATCAATTAGCCATATGCAAAATTTTCACTTTCATTAATTCTCACCATTGTTATCTTTGTTTTCACATAAAAATAAGATAAGTCAGAAATCATACCAAGCAAAAATTCTACCTGCATTCAATGTTGGAAAGATTTTTATTTAATCTGCCCTCTCACCTTCAATGCATAAGATTACCATTTTAAACCAGAAAAACTCCAGGTTGGCCCAGTTCCAATGCTGACCTCACATCAAAACAGAAATAAATGTCTTAAAAATAGCCAAACAGCCATCTTCTAACTACTGCACCAGACCCAAAGCAGCAGCATAAGGTAGGAGGTTATTTTTCTCCTTCTTGACTATGTACCTGTATAACATTAACCATTTCTCAGTGAGCACTTTACTTTCTTAAAAGTAAACACTGACCAGAAAATTCGGGGTCATGGTCATAAAGGGAGAAAGTGTTTTACATTTAACATCATTGCCTCAAATCACCCATTCTCACCCAGTCACAACCAATGACCATGAAGAAACACTGTTTAATGTGTCTGTGCTTTTAAAAATCAAATTCCACCAAGATAACAATTAAATAATTACAACACAGCAAATATTTTAGCCATGCTCTATTATTCTATCATTTAAAAAAACCATTTAATGCCCTAACACCTCTTCCACTAAAAGGTAATTATATTTGTTACCCTATAATTTCATTATCTTATTGTTACTGCATTACACTACTTTTGGCAACTCCGTTCTACCACTACAAACATACTTGCTGAACATTCCATTTCTGCACAGAGATGACAAAAACCACTATCTTCCACAGTCACTTAAGGTCAAACCACAATGATGTTTTTACTAATTAATCAGACTACAACAACAATTGCATATAAAACCAACAGCTCAAATGTACCTTCTGCAAAAAATACAAGTAAATAAAAAACCATAAGTACTTACCTACAGTTGGGAGGAGGGTCCAAAGTAATTTCTGCAAGTTCCTTCTGAATTCTTTAAAATAAAGACAAAGAACATTATGTTAAAAATACCTTCACTGTTAACAATTTATTTCAATAAAATGTTATTTTTCAACAGTATTTCCCTTTGGTAAGCTATTAGTTTGAAATACTAATACTGTATGAAGCATCATATCCAACAATGAAGTAGCAATTTCTGCCAAGGTTTTTAACGATGCATCTAACAGTGCACGCAACCTGTGGAAGGAACGCTATGACTTCACTGAACCACTGACAGCACTAATTAAAATTTCTAAAACTGGAAATTTCTGCCACACCATTCATAGGTCATTCTAACTTCTGTTTTGTATTAGAGCATTCCCACACAGATGGAAAGCTGATATTAAGTTAAATTCAGGTATCCTAACTGTTACAATCAAATGGTGAAGAAAAGATTCAGGATCTCATTCCAATACCTGAAACTGCCGTCAAGATGCACATGGGATTCCTTTCTGGCGCTTCTAATTTGGAGCAGGTTGGGACTCTGAAGTTTAATACTATTTCATCTGCTAGAACTATCCTAATATTACATGAGTAATTAATGTCATTGCACGAGCTTCATGCAAAACAATTTTTTTTTTAAGCCTGCACTATCCTGATGTGTTACACTCTTTTAACTGCATCTAACATCTTATGTACGTATAAAAAGGCTGAAAGGTGCACCACTGTTTTCTAACACTATACTTAACAATCCCTTAACTCTCATTCATACCTTATTAAATGTAGGTTTTGTTAAATCAATTACCAAAAAATTCTCAAAAACGTTTCTTCTCCTTTGCCTTGGTTTTTAAATATGGGGTTATTAACAGCTGGATGCCTGTTATCTGGTAATTATTGTGATAGTATATGGATAATAACTGATTAAAGTATCTTTCGAAAATAAGAATTTGAACAAAAATATTTACATTCAAACAATTTCCTTCTACTCGTTTTTGAAGACAACAAACTACTAGAATAAATGGGAACCCTGCAATAGAATTGGTCTCAACTTCCTTAAGAAACTGCATGCTACTAACATAATTTTCACTTCTCTAAACCACGTGATTCAAGCTTGGTGAGGTATTATGAATCAGAGCAAGGCTAAGAAATTCAAAGTCAAAAAAATTTCATTGTAATTCTGCTAGGCTATTAAATTGAGTGCCTGGGCAAGAATACTGCTCACACATGTTTGCTCTCTCTCCCTGTGCTTCCATTTTCTGTCCTATAAAACAGGTTAACTAGAACAAACTCTGTGATCTCTTTTATCTTTAACACACTATAACTTCCTTCTAATACAGATTCTGTGATATATTTAGATGCATACAAGGTACATATGGCCCATATTTAAATGACAGAAGTCTCAAAGATTAGATATAAGAGAACACATGTTATGGATTTCACACAAAAGTATAAAACAAACACTTCAAAACTAAATAGCTAAGTTCCAGTTAAAGATGGCAAACTAAGTAGACACACTTTCACCTCTCAGTCATGCAGGACTCCACTGGGTGGGCAGGTGGAATACAGAAAAAGCAAAAAAGGAATAAACAGCAAAGAAAAAGATGGTAGTCACCAATGAGTGAGAAATTTCAATGTATTTCTGTAAGACAAAACAGATGGGTGTAAATCAAACAAGTGGAGACAGGCAAGAGGGGGCTGCAGAGAGTATATGGATATAACAGACTACCAAAGGGAGTACTGGGGGAAGTAAGCAGAAATAAAGCTATGTAAGAAAATCACAGATGAAATATGAAGCAAACTAAAATGTAAAACAATTTTAATTAAGTATCAGACACTGTAGGTGGGGTGGGGCGAGAAAGATTTGATATATTTTGCCTAAATGCTCTGACTCATTGAGAAGCCCAGAGATCCTGACACTGGATGTGTAATTAATCCTAATATGCTGTTTTGTCTGGCATTGAATATTTACAGTTACAATAAATACACAATTTATTGGTCTTTTACTGACCGACAAAGCATAGAAGATTGGTTATTAGCACTATATAAATTAAATGTTATCAACATTGAAGATGTAAAATTAAGTGTAGCTAATACAAACCATCTAAAAGTGGACAGAGATGATATTAACATCCCCAATTTACCAAATAGAGAATAAAAAACATGTTATTTGTAGGAACAAGAAATCAAAGCTTAAATATATTTTTTAGAGTATGAAGGCAACCAATCATCTTTTTAAAAATTTTTTAACTATCATAACCGGGAGGAAGAAAAAGAAAGGGAGAACAGGTAAGCAAACTAAATCTTCATATTTCAGAGCAGGGCATCAAAATACATTATTTCAATTAACAATTCAACAAGAAACGGGTGTATTATTTAGAGTTATGCAGAAAACCACCAGAAGGAATAAGAGCAAAGACAGCTAAAGAGTCTGCTTCAAGGGAATGGAACTGGGAGAATCAGGGGAAGAGGGTGCATTAAAAACTGTTGCTTTCCATAAAAAAATCTATGTATTGTTTAATTTGTTATCAGAAACATAAACAACTTTTAAAAATTGTTTATAAACTAAGAGAACCAAAAGAATAAGCATTCTAAAAAGCATCCTTAAACTGTCAGAGAAATCTATTTTTAACATAAAAAAACTTCTTTGCAATTTTCAAACAACACATCTTGCTTTATATTTATACTGCCCCTTTTGGTTTAAAAAACAAAAAACAAACAAACAAACAAACAAAAAAAACAACTCACAAATCATGGGCCAGGTGCAGTATCGGTGGCTTAGGCCTGTAATACCAGAGCTTTGGGAGGCAGATGGAAGAGGAACACTTGAGGCCAGAAATTTGAGACCAACCTGAACAACATGGTGAGACCCCTTCTCTACAAAAAATTCAGGAAACTATTGGTCATACTGGTGCGTGCTTATAGTACCAGTTACTCTGGAGGCCAAGGCAGAAGGATCAGTTGAGCCCAGGAATTTGAGGCCATGGTGATCTATGATCATAACACATACTCCAGCCTGGGCAAGAATAAGACCCTCTTTTCTAAGGGAAAAGAAAATTGGCAAATCATAATTTTCTGTCATATAATTCTATAACAAAATTTCAACTCCAGATCCCTATAAGTCTCCATTATTCAATATAAAAAGCAATTTACTGATAAATTCAACAAGTCTGAGCAGTAAGTCAATATATTACAATATATTTTGAGCCACTGTTACCTAGAATGGTCATATTTCTGTCAGCAGAAAAGATTATACTAAGAATTGCTATTTAAACGGTTGTAAGATGTCCTGCTGTTTTCAATGACAGCAATTCTATTCTCTCAAAAGTTGTGATCATAGTATGTATTAAGTTTCTCAGCCTTGACAAGTGGGATAAGGAAGGTAGCTATTTCAGGCACTGTCTCTTAGGGTGAGGAAAAATGAAAAGTATCAATAATTCACACTTACAGTGTACCTTTCCCATGATGATCTTTTACCATTAAAAGTGATTAGATAAAACTCACAAAATTCTCTTAAGTCTCTCTTTTATCAGTCCCCATTTAAAAGACAAGGAAATCTAAGGCTAATTATTTTACACTGGTTAAGGTGAAAGATGGGGAACTATTATCTTGCTAAGTCAAACAAAAAGACCTTCCTCATCAGAACTTTTAAGACAAAATTATTTTACACAAAAATCACCTGGACAATGGCCTAAATTTCCAATTTCCACAAGGCAGTGTCACCCCTTAGTATGATACAGAAGTCAGCAACTACCCAATGTTACCGAGGCAAGTCAGGAGCAACACACAAATTAAATTTCAATATATATATATTACTCCACTTTATACCTTAACTGTTCCAGGAATGAATGATAAGAGTACAATATGAGTACTGTGTGGGACTGTTATTTGCTTTTAAGAAAAAATAGCGGGGGAGTAGAATCATAACAATCATGATTCATTCAGACTTAAATGAAGAATATGGTACCAAAATCATACAGAACAGAGAAGATATGAAACATTCATGTGAACATCAATATACTGGAGTAAGGGTTCAGAAAAATGAAGCAGTGTATGTGTACTGACATGTTTAAAACACACACATACACATATCTTGGTTAAAGAAATTCAAAAATTTACTTAGAGCCAAGGAGAACATGAATGTGTGGATATGTAGATGCACAAAGTGCTATCTTAGCAGTAATTTTTTAAAACCCTTCATCTCATCTAGATAACTTTCTATATTTCCTTACACACTACCTTCCTCAGTCACCTAAGAAACCCTATTCTAATCAATTGAATCACCTAGTGAAAACCTTCCAAAATGAACCTATTCTCAAGAAAGCATCATGTAACTAATTATTAAAATTGTTTTAAATGTCAAAGCCATCTTTAGAAAACACATTGCCATTGCAAATAACAAGCCTAGAGTTTAATCCTGAATGGTGGTATATACTGTGTATCTACAACTCTAAAAGATCATTGATTTTTAAGACAAACCGTCAATAATTGTGCACATCAACTTTAAGATGTGTCCCAATTTCAGAAACGTTAAAAAGTTTTAAAATGTACATTTAGAATGAAGAAAATACAGTAATTACAAAAAGAGTATCTATAAAAGTACTATTTCACTCTCATGTGGAAAACAAACTTAGATGAGCCCATATAATAAAAGATCAAACTGGAATATAGTGAAATTAATCTTTCAACCTAAGAAAAAGGTAGAGTCTGAAACCAAAAACTATACCTTGAACAGTATCATATTGAGTGTCTAAAAATAAAATCACCATGTCTACTCTGAACATAATTTAGAATAAATATGATTTAAAATTCACATTTACAGATGTGTCAACCCGTAAAAGCAGCAGCAGAATAAATTCAATGAAGATCTCAAAATAGATGTTTTATTGAACTGACTAGTCGATTTAATCAAAATCATCTAAATCTGTCACTGCAAATATAGTCCAACCACATACTTGCAAATATAACAAGAGTGATATAGATATATCAAGAGAACAGGCTGTGGTAAGAGCATGACAATTTTTTAAGAAACAAATTCTTGCCAAAGAAAAGCAAAAATGCATCAAAGATGTAACTATAATATTTCCTCCTAATTCTGAGACAGAAATTAACTTCCACTACTGTTTAAATACTTAAATGTTTTCTGTATATCACTATTCTGTAATATCACAAATATGAGATTTTTCAAGAAATCGTATTTCTAAACCAGCATATTAATTCCACAATTACTGCATTATAGCAATTATTAATTCTACAATTATAGTACATTTCATATTATAACTGAGCACCTACATGCAAGCAGTTTTCCTAAGTCACTACAAAATGCATTTAATTACAGTATTTCTAGTTTAACAACAGCATTAAGGCCTTGAAGGTTAACATATACCTCATTTTTCCAAAGTTTGTTCCAAATAGACTTGAAAAATACCATTATAGACTTTAACTAAGTCTTTTAGTGACAGCATTTGTGAGAGCTTACTATGTGCCAAACAAATGCTTTATCATATTTAGTCCTCACAAGAACCTTGTCAAGAGTGTAACATTATCATCTTCCTTCCAAGAAAGAAGAAATTGAGGCTCAGAGCTGTAATCATACATCAGGATCGCAGAGGCTAGGCACAGTGGCTCATGCCTGTAATTCCAACACTTTGAGAGATCACTTGCAACCAGGAGTTCAAGGCCAGCTTGGGTAACATAGGAGACTCTCATCCCAGCAAAATATACATTAAAACTTTAGCCTGGTGTGGTGACATACCCCTGGAATCCCAGCTACTCGGAAGACTGAGGCAATAAGACTAAATGAGCCCAGGAGTTGGAGATAATACACTGCACTGCAGCCTGGGTGACAGCAAGACTCTGCCTCAAAAGTGCCATACCCCTGTAATCCCAGCTACTTGGGAGGCTGATGCAGGAGGACTGAATAAGCCCAAGAATTGGAGATCATACCACTGTACTCTAGCCTGGGTGACAGAACAAGACTCTACCTTGGAAAAAAAGAAAAAAAAAATATATCAAGAAAAAGAACGTAGAAAAGACCACAGAGCTACAGCTACTAAATGCTAGAACCTAGATTCAAATGTACATCCTGTCTCTAGAGTTTAAGCTCTTCAATGCTACTCACTACCTCATAAAATGACACTATTTGAGAGACTTTTCATCTGAATAAAAGTGATCATCAACAAAAAGTATGAAATAAAATTTATTTTGAAACTACCTCTAACTTTTAATCTTCTGAACACACTAGTACCAAGATCCTAATATTCATGAATCCAATTCCTATAATAAGCTCAGGGTTCCAAGTCAATCGGTAAATAAATATTGTGACCATACTCTGCTAGGCACTGCAGATATGACAGTGAACTTAAAAGATGGGGAGTCCTCTATCCTCATAATTCCCAATTTTTTTTCTAAGTGCTTAGAACTTAAGCAGAAATGGGAAAGAATCAATAACTACACTATCAACTGAACTGGAGGAAGACAGAGGGGAGAATACTTTTTTTTTTTTTTTAATTAAAACATTAGTAGTGATCCAGGTGTGATGGCTCATGCCTGTAATCCTAGCACTTTGAGAGGCTGAAGTGGGTGGATCACCTGAGGTCAGTAATTCGATACCAGCCTAGCCAACACGGCAAAATCCCATCTCTACTAAAAATACAAAAATTAGCCAGGCATGGTGGCGCACGCCTGTAATTCCAACTACAGAGGAAGCTGAGGAAGGAGAATCACTTGAACCTGGGAGGTGGAGGTTGCAGTGAGCCAAGACTGCACCACTGCACTCCAGCCGGCATGACAGGAGCGAGTCTCCATCTAAAAAAAAAGAGTAGTGAAGCCACATTTTTATACTTAAATAGTAAATTAAATAGTAAATTTTTATAATAGTAAATGTATTAAATATTTATTAAATATTAAATAGTAAATTTTTATAATAAACAGTAAATTATTATATCACTTCATACACTGTCACCCAAAAACTAACTGAAGACCTTTCTAGAGAAAGATCATGAACCACAATTTGAAAATCACAGATTAACAAGAATTTGCAGACATACGGATTCTTTCAGCCAGGAAGCAACAACTCAAAAGACACTTCTTACTTTGACCAACGCAATACAACCACTTTCTATTTACTGCCAATCAGGCACTGTCCTTGGCTCTACACATACACTATCTCTATACTAGGTTTTATCTTGACATATTTTTTTGACAATGCAAAAAAAAAAATATCTTCTATATGTTTCCCTCATGAAATCTATCATTAGGCTTGTATAATCTGTACTTTCTACAGATACTGTAGTAAAATGAAGACCCACATACTTGAAAAACTCATAAGCAGTACATCTTTCATAAGCAGAATTTGGTCTTTGACATATCACCCAAGAAATATGATTCTGAGGTATTTTATAGTGGTGCTCCCAGTTAGGGGGAAAGGCAGAGCCTCACCAAAACAAGTGACTTTGCTAACCAGCAGTCACAGAACAAAGCACAGCCCCCACAGAACCCTATTCCCCACAGACCTGGCCAACGAATCCTTCCTCTTTTCTGACAAACTAAAGACACTGAGGACTGAATTAGATTTTCCTAAACTACATGGAACTACGATCTGTACCTGAACATCTCCTACCCACCCACATCAACCTCCTTCTTTCATCTAAATGTCATATTTTCTCTATTCTCCACCTTTTTAATCCATCCTAACCCCACCCTCCATTTCCCAGGTCACCTCTAAGCAGGTTATTTGCGTTGTGGTCAGGCAACGGAAGGGTCAGCTAGCTGAGTCCCCTGTACTTGTGGTGTGATGGCAAAACAAACTGAACCCTCTTCCCTACCCTAGCATGTTCTAGTATACAGGACTAAAAGTTTAAATTCCGCACTTTCACACAGCTCCTTCAATAGAGGGCAGGGATCAGCAATACTCTCCCAGGAAAGGGAAAGTGAATACTCTCGTACCTTTAAATAACCACTCACCATCCCTCCAACATCTCTCACCAAGGAACCTGAGAAGGTTCTTTCCAACCCTGTAGATTGGCTAAGCCAAAGGGAAACAAGGTCTACTAGACTATAATAATGTTTTGTTTTGTTTTTTTCTGAGACAGAGTCTCGCTGTATCACCAGGCTGGAGTACACTGGCGCGATCCTGGCTCACTGCACCTTCCGTTTTCAGCCTCCCCAGTAGCTAGGACTACAGGCGCATGCCACCATGCACAGCTAATTTTTTTTGTATTTTTTTTAGCGGAGACGGGGTTTCACCTTGTTGGCCAGGATGGTCTCAATCTCTTGACCTCTTGATCCATCCGCCTCGGCTTCCTAAAGTGCTGGGATTACAGGCTTGAGCCACTGTGCCTGGCCCAATAATGTTTTTTTTTAAATCTTTGAGAAAGGAGTTCCCCTTAATCCACAGCATACAATAACATGTAAAGTTGTAATTCAACATTCAGACATTCCGCTATGCCTAAAAGTTAGGCTGCTTTTATTTATACTTCCTATTTGATCAATATAAAACATACAAAAACAAAGCAAGAACATAGAATCACAGAATCAGGAGACACTATATTTATCTTTCGAATTATTTTCCAAGAGATATTCTGTAATGCAACAATATCAAAACAGATTCCCTTTAAGTCCAATGACATGTCAATCATCTTAAAAGACTGATGTACCAAGAGAAAATCATTCAAATATCTACTTTCCAGATCCATCTATTCTCTAGAGAAAGAGAAACTGTGTATCAAGACAGATCCACTGACTAATGTAATGAAACCAAGATGCACTTGTTGCTAATGTCAGCATTTCTGACTTTACCAACTGAGAGTAATGGAAAATAAACTATCATTCACTCAATAACTACTTCAAAAGATTCTTAATCTCTATTCTGTGTTACTGAACAGGAAAAAAAATTTATGGTCAAGTAACCATAAATGAAACCACTGCAATTTTACATGCACATCCTGTATATGCTTCCTTAACAATACACAAAAACACAAACACACTATGGATATGTATTTTATGAATCTGCCATGCCATTTAACTGACTTTAAATACTTAGGTTCCCTATGGTTAAAACCATGTAAAAAAGATCATCTATAAGAGGAAAGAAAAATCCATGAGGTTCATGGCTTACACATCCCGGAAAAAATGATTACTTGCAAGAGAAAAATGGAACTTAAGATGATAAACTGATACCAAAAACAAAAAGGTTACAATAACTGAGGTACCTTTTAGCACTAGTTGACAATTTAGCAGCGGTTTTGCTGGATATTTTTCCCTCCTTTTTCTTGGGCTGAACTTGTTCTCTTTCTGGTTCTTGCTGAACACTTTCACGTTGATCTCCATCAGAACTTCCTCCACTAGTGCTTGGACTGTCATCAACTCTTTGTGCCTCAGTGGACATTTTAGATCCTGGATTAAAGAATCAAAAATCATTTATTCAGCTGTGAGAACTACAGTACGCTACCTCCATGACACAGAGAATAAGCCTCAAAGAAAACAAGTAAATCTCAATAAAAAGTGGATAAACTGGTCATTTACAAAACAATGCAGTTTTGGGAGTCGCTAAAACTTTTCTTTCATCCATTCAAAGTATATTGTAAAATGAAAATATACAAAATTTATACGTGAAATGTTCATAGCAACATTATATAAATAATAACCAAAATTGGAAACAACTCAAATATCCACTAAGGGATGAACGAATAAACAAAATGTAGTAGTATATCCACATAATGTACTACTAGCCATAAAAAAGAATGAAGTACAGTGTCTACGTGCTACAAAATGGATGAACCTTGAAACATTATCGAAGTGAAAGAAACCAGCCACAAAGGACCACAAACTGTTTGACTATTTATATGAAATGTCCAGACTAGGCAAATCCATAAACACAAAATTCAGTAACCAGATCTCACGCCTGTAATCCCCAATGCTTTGGGAAGCCCAGTCAGGACCAGCCTGGGTGACACAGTGGGACTCAATCTCTACCAAGAAAAGAAAAAAAAAAAAAAAGATTAGTATCACTGCATTCCAGCCTGAGTGCCACAGTAAGACCCTGTCTCAAAGAAAAAAAAAATTAATTAAAAAAAAAATACAGTGGGTAAGTGGTTGCCAGGGAGTAAGGGGAGTGAGAGTAGTAAGGACTGCTAATGGGTATGATGCTTCCCTTTGGGGTGATATAAATGTTCTTAAATTAGGCAATGGTAATATTGCACAATTCTAATTGTAAATATTCTAAGAACTATAGAGTTGTACATTTTTAAAGGGTAAATTTTATAGTATGTGAATTACATATAATAATGCTGTTATGAAGAAAATGATTAAGGGTCTACTCTCTACCAGACACTGTGCTAAGCCCTTTGGTCCCACAACTGAGAAAAACCTGGACTAGCTAACTTGCTAAATACTAAAACGAAGGTTAGTACAAAAAGCTGTGGAAACAGAAAAATGGGTGGACATTTTCAAATCCCTATTCAAATCAGTACATCCTCAGCGCTGGGCTATGGTTAAAATTCTCCAAACTAATAAATTGATGACTTTGCGGTAACAGATGAACACAAGGCCTACATGACTGCATGATTCTAAATAAAAACTTAACCGTATGATGGTGTCAGCATTGATTCAGCTGTATACTAAAGCAACCATTTTTCATAAGAGATGAAGACACTGAAGATTTTTTTTTTCACAGTCCGGTTAAAATATTCCTCAAGGCTTTCAAATTCCCTCTCCTCTGAGTTCATGCTCCCCAAGCAGCTCTGACTACCAACTCAATTTCCAAAATACCTTGATATTTAGATAGCTATTATAACCTAGACAGCAGACACAACTCCTGTAAGTGAAAAGGAGTATCTCTTATCAACTGTCATTCTATCATAATCAATATCTGAGTTTGATTACTATGAATACATCCCTTATGAGCTGACTAGCTTAGAGTGTTCTGACAAATCCGGAACTGAACCAACAAAACCTATGCCCAGACTCTAAAAGGCCTTGTGCTTACCACGGTTTTATCACCTAATAATCACTTTGAGCACTGTATAGCTACCTTCTCAGACACCTCTTTGAAAACAAAACTACCTATGCTTAACAAGTACCATTAACAACACAAAATACACCTTTAAAAATTATAGGTACACTGAACAAATTCCTTTTGAAATGGATTCTTTTGATTAATCGAATTAGAAGTTCAAATAAAACTGTTTCTCATATGATCAAGAATAAGAATACATAAAAATACTTCAAATAAAGCAAAATTCTTAATTACTATAATTTAGTCCAAATAGATAGCTTTCATATGATGAAAATTCATCATTACCAAAGATTTAACTTGTAGCTTGCTCTAAGCAAAAGCAATGTTGTAACACGGATCTTTAATGGATTGAAATTTTTGTAAGGCAAATCAGAAAGCAATGCAAAAGAATGGAAGCATCAGGAAGCAGAGAGAGGCAAAGAGTCAAAAGAAAACAGTGAATGCTTTCACTGACACACCACACACACACCACCAGCACCCCTTCAACTAGAACAGCTCCCCATGCCAAACAAAAACAGGTCTACCCCAACAGTTCTGAAACATACTAACGGAAAAGCTGACTACTTTTCTACCTATTCTGTAAATGAAGAGCATCAGTCTCTACTGCTGTGACATCTTTTATGAGCACTAAAGTCACTTAATAGAATGCTGATATTTTATATCAGTATGTTTCACATCTAGCTCTAAAAGTCGTAACATATTTCTTGCTTTTTTTCAGTTTTATTTCACTCTAAATTCTCATTCTTGGATTTAACATTGTTTTTCTTTCACCTTACTTCTTTCAGTTAAATTTTATCAGATGTTTAAAACCTTGAAAGTATGTACATAATAGCATATCAGATAGGGTGGCATGCATGGGAGTGAAAAAGAGAACAATACTCAGGGAAAGCTGCTCAGATACAGCAAAATGCTGCCAGCAACACCTTAAATTGTGAAATGAGACATCATTTCATACATTTTAAACCAGAAGCAATCCATTATATGACAAATATACGGGAATCTCAATGAAATAATATTCTCTACACTGAGGCTGCAGCTTCAGTTTAATAAACTATGATTTAATAAACTATGCTGAGAGTTTCAGTTGTGTATCACATTAGTTATAAAGCCACATTCTTCTTAATATGCTTATTTATGTGCATTTACATACTATCAAATAATGCCATAGTTACATAATTCCTTAAAAAGATTACTCAATGATACGATCTGAGCCATAATGTGAAACCCAAATTTCATAAACTACTGCCGAATATCAAAGGAAGACTAAAGTAAAAATTAGTCTCACTAGAGAACTAATAAAAATACTATTTAAAATGCCCCAATAGAGGCATAATTTCTAGTTTTACATTAAGGAAAATAATTATTTCCACTTTTGACTTAAGATATCTTATTTCATTCAAATGTTAACCTACAAATGATGAATCCATCTCAGGCCACTGATACCACTACGGGAACTTATAAAAATAAAGTTTTCACATCTCTTTTTCAAATATCACTAATAAAAGGAATTTCTTCTGGGTTTGTTTTTTGACTACTTGATTACAGAAAAAGCACAGAAAAAAACTGTACCACTCAGGTGCAACAAATTTTTATGAAGAAAAAGTGGTCTATAAATCATTTTAATTAGTCATAAGTGTAAAATTGATGTATCTCTAAAGTACAAATGAATAAAAATTCCTAAAATTCTTTAAACATTATCTTCTAAATTAGCACTTTAAAATCAACTCCTCAACAGCTAATCTGAGCCGATTATCTAATCTACAGGGAAGATAAACTTAAATCCCAGGGTTAGAAGCAAAGAGCTACTCTCCAATGATAGTTTCAAAGATACCGAGATATATAAATTAATATGCTTATTTCATAACTCAAAGTAAAACTTGATTTTTAAACATAAAATAGTAAGGTAGTCCTTCCTAAAACTATTTTAAGAGGCTTAAATTCTGTTCCTTCTTCAACACAAACTAAACTTGTATTAGCTATGTACTCTACGTTGTAATTACAGACCTGGAAATTAGCAACATACAGTGAATGAAACTCACGTGTTCCATAAAAATGAAATCATTTGGCTTGAAATATCACTGACTACATAAAGGAAACTACAGTCATTCCATAAATTCAGACTACTATCCAGATAAGCCTTATAACAGTACAAAACTGCAAAACAAGTGTTCATTCGAGCTTTTATAACAGGAAAGCGTTTAATTCTGTCATATGTATCTTGTCTTCCTACTCACGTTTCTAAACTTTTCTAAAATATAAAACAAAATAGTACACAGTATATGCGCACAGCAATATCCAGCTTTAAATTTAACTGCAAAGACATTTATGCAGAAAATAACAGTGGAACACCTGATTTGGGGGTAAAAGGTGCAGCAGGAGAGAGAGAATGGGGTATGACATTACATGAAAACACTCCATTTTAAGCATCAGCCCACATACAGAACTCCAAAGAGCCAAGGAGCATCCAAATTGTCGTAGTTGGCAAATATTTAGATTCACAAAGTCCTGACTGAATTGTCACATATCTAGAAACACACTTTTTAAACAATCAGGGATCAAACACTAAGAAGAGCGTAAAATCTTTCTGAACCGCGAGACAATCTGAGGGTAAACCGTAGCACTTCCCTTCGTACTTTTAAATAAAAATATTTGAATAGACTCTCGAGAACACACAATACAAAACGACGAGTCTTGGAAACATGCAAATGGGTCTAACAGCCACCGAGCACAGGATGATGTCTTTCTAAAGCGGCCTTAATTTCCTTAAGGGAAGATGGATTGGACATTTCTGGTTGGTCGTGGGAAAAAAAAGCCACAAGAAGCCACGCTTTATCTTCATTAGAAATGGTAAAGGGCAAAAGGATCAAAACATTACGAGAGAGAGGACAGGAGAGGGGGAGAAGTGGGTGGAGGAGGGAGAAGGGGGAGAGGACAGAGGGAATCCAGTTTCAAACCAGGCCGGTGGGGGCTGCAGAGAAGAGACCAGAGAAAAATGGGCTTCGGTTCCAAACTGTGACAAGCGCCAGGCATCACAAAAGACCAATACAACACACACCCCACACCAGGACACACACAAATATACCCCACAAGGTCTTCTCCGGGCGGGCCACCGGCGTGCGGTGGCGGAGCCGCCAGACCCGGCACTCGCCAGGAGAGACACCATGTGCAGCAATTATGCAATTAGGGAAAATAGCAAAAGATCAAGCCGGGCACTTTCCACCGTGACATTTATCCTGTACTTTTGCAAAGACTTAGTTCCAGGATGCGGCCAGGAGAAGGCAGGCGCTGGGAGGGTGGAGAAGGATGGGGAACTGAGAACGGAAGGGGGTAGAAGGAGGACAGGGAGAGGAGAGGCAGAAGAGGGGGATGGGAAGGAGGGGGAGGGGTAGAAAGGGCGAGAAACGGGGGCAGGAGGCTCGCGGGAGGGGGCGCGGAGAACCGGGCGCGGGGAGCGAGGAAGGAGGGAACCAGGACGCCGGCGGTGTAAGCGGAGACCTGCGGCGCGGAGGGGAGTCGAGGGAGCGGGGAGGACGCCCGCGAGAGGGAGGACGCCCGGGGAGGGGAGGCACCGGCGCGGCCCGAGCGAATACCTGAGGGGGGTGCCGCGCAGGTCGCGGGCTCCAGCCGAAGCCCGGGGAGAGAGCTGCCGAGGCGCGCGGGGGAGGGAGCCTGGGGAGGCCCCGGGGACGGGATGTCCCCTGCGGACCGTCTAGTCACCGAGAGCCGGACCCACGCACCACGCACCCGACCACGCCTGTCCCCGCCGCGCTCGCGCCCGCCCGGACTCACCCTCGGCGCCGCCGCCGCCGCCGCCGCCGCCCCCGGCCGTTCCAGCTCCGGCTCCCGAGGCTACTGCCCGCGGCTGTCGCTGTGGCGGCCCCTGAGTCCTGGAAAGTGAAGCCGCCACCTCCGGGAGCCGCCGCCGCCCGGCCGTCCGCGCGCGCACCCGCGACTGCGCGTGCCCGGGCGCCCGCCCGGGAGAGACCGCGAGAGCGCGAGCCCCACGTCGGCCGTGCGGCGCCGCGCGCCTCCCTCCTCCCCGCGTCCCTCCTCCTCCGGCGCGCGGCCACGAGGGGGCGGGAGAGGGGGTGGAGAGGCGGCGCGGAAAAGTGAAGTGACAGCTGGGTCCCGCGCGCAGGTCGGACTGTGGCGGGGTGGGCGAGGGGCGTTCCGCAAGGACGGGAAGAAGTGGGGGAAACCGAGGCTGACGGGGTGTCTTGAGGGGAGGGGACGCGAGGACCTTGACGGGCACGCGCGTTAAAGGGAAACGCTGGCCGGGGGTTGGGGGTTGCCCCCAGACGGCGCGGGCGGGGGGACGAGGAGGCCTTTGGCACCCGTCCGCCGCGGGCCGCGACTTCACACTCGCCTCGAAGCTTTCGCGAAGTAGCTCCGGGGACTGACCCTGGGGACGCGCCAACCCAAACTCGCAGACGCGTCGGGCCCGCAGGCACCCAAGACGGGGAAACTTCACGAGGGCCTGGAAAGTTCTTCCAGGCTGAGCGAGAGTGCAGCACGAAGGCCCTTCCGCCTTTTGGCTCGACCTAGCCCGGAGTGCACGCCAGCCGGTAGAGAGGATCTTCGTGCCGTTTAGCCCTGGGGTATTGAAGAGACGGGTGGTGGGTACAGGGTGCAGCACGGTCGGGGTGAGTGGGAAGCCGTCGTCAGGCCCAGTTGAAGTATGTGGGGACGTTGCAGTGCTGTAGGTGGCCTGAAGGAACATTAGGTTCTCTTGCACTCCTCACCCTAAATAACCGTTAAAAAAGTATGTACCTGCTTTGCAAACTCAGCTTCCATGAAGTTTCTCCCACCCCCACCGCTAGCCTCTCTTACCACCTGGGTGCTGGGTTGTTGGTAATGGGATGCAGCAAAGTAAACTTCCATCTTTGTGGAGGAAAGGATTGGAAGACATTTCACTGCTTAATTGCTGAAATTATGGTTGCTACAATACTTCATTTGATCGTAGATGTTTTAACTGCTATTTACTAAGTTCAAAATGGGTTTAATACAAATAAGTTACCCTTTTCATTTATTCAAGGAATATTTATTGATACCAGGCGCTGTCTGGGTGGTAGGTATATGACATTCAATAAATGAGAAAAATTCTTGTCCTCAGAACTTTCCCTACCTCTGAACCTTCTCTGTTTTACACTCAGCATCATATTCGTCAGTAAATTCTGTTGACTCTGCTTTCAAAACTATATGGTGAAAATGTCCACTGCTTCTCACTCCCCTGCCCACTGCTAATGTCCTGGTCCAAGCTATCATCTCAGTAATTATCACCTACCTGATCTTTCTACCTCACACTCTCTACCTCCTCCCTCCTTCACACCCACACACAGCAACTGTCCTTTAAAACAAAGATTAGATTATGTCTCTCTTCAACAATTCCAGTGGCTCCCCAGGCTGAATATGGATACATGCCCGGCATGATCTGCCCACCATTCCCAGCCAGGATCCCTCTGACCTCAAGCGGTACAATTTCACTCCATCCTCATACTCCTTTCAGCCACACCAACCTTGCTGTTATGGACACACTAAGCATTCCTCAGCCTCAAGACCTGTGTATTTACCATTTCCTGTCTCTAGAACATTCCTCCCACTCCTCCCCCAGAACTTCCTATCCACATCTTCTGCTTTATTTTTCTCTATGATCACCACCTGACATAATATATATATTTCTACTTATTCATTAGTTTCCCCCTTCTTCTGCTTTCTTTTTCCTCCCTCTCCCAGCCCTCCCACATAAACGTACCTTGAGAAAATGTGCTGGGGTTCAGTGCTATATGTATTCAATAGAATGATTGAGTGAATGAAATTGGTCTCTTTCAGTTGATGACATAATAGATATTGTTCTCATTTTTTCAGTAATAATAATTAGTACTTACCGTGTTCTTAATTTGTGCTAGGAAGCATGCTAAGCTCTTTAATTAAACTAGGTCACAACCACCGCAGAAGTTGGTTTTATCCAATCAGCTGCACTATACAGATGAGAATACTGAGGTACAGAGGGATTAAGTCACTCACCCACAGTCACATAGTTAGTGAGGAGCAGAGCTGCTACTTGAAATCAGCAGTTTGACTATGGAGTCTGTGAACCTAAGGACACTTTACCGTGAGTCCAGTGTTACAAACATAATTATTTGATTTTCTCCATTTCTCTCTTCTGCGGCGCAAACTTGGTCTCCAAGACAAATAGCTTATCTTCCTTACATTTTCTGCTCTGATTCATCAGTCTGTCATCATGAACTCTACTCCTTTGTTACATTTATTATTTCTGGGCATTAATTTAGAGCCTACATTCTACCTCCTGGAATTGGCAAATGGGAACGTTGTTTGAAGGATCCTTCTTAAAATGCTGTCACTGCCAATTTCATAAGTAGAGCCACAGTTTTCCAGTTTGACTGGGTGGGTCATAGGAAAGACCTCTCGCAGGGGAACTGGACTGAATTTTAGCAGAAGCATTATACTGGTGGAGCCCTAGGCTGCTTGTTTCAGCAGCTTCTGTTCTTGTGAGGCACCCAGTTACCAGGGGTTGTTATGTATTTATATTATACCCTTTGGAAGAAACGTCATATTAGCTCAGGTTTTCCAAAGATTAGAGCCCTGAGAGAATTGGATAGAGGTCAATGATCTGTTAGATACAGTCTGCTTGAGGGAGGCTGTAGTTACCCTGAATGTTTTGGATACTTAAGGGCAACACTGGTGTAGAATAATTGAAACTCCATTAGAACTGTGACCCCATTACCTACCTAGTTCAGTACCAACACAAAGGTGCAGCCAGATGCTTTACAAAATGTTTGTTTCATAAATAAATAAATGAAATTCTAGCAGGGAATAGAGGAGTACTGAGGACAAATTCCCCTGACTTCCCCACTTGTTCAGAAGCTGCTACCTGGACCACTATGCATGATCAAATATATTGTACACTGCAAAATGTCAAGGGGTGCCATTTTTGTAAATTAAGATGCAAACAGAATTGTAGCTGCTCCTCTAACCCCTAGACATTGCCTGAGTATGGTAATCCGTCTCCAAGATGTCCCACTGATCCCTGCCTCTTGGTATTCACACCCTTATGTAATCTCCTCCTACATCATGCTAGGGTTGATGTAATGCTGTGAGAAGTGAGGGTATGTCACTTCCAAAATTAGTTTAAGCCTTCCATCTTGGCTATGCACGTGCTGGCGCTCTCTCTCTCTCTCTCTCTCTCTCTCTCTCTCTCTCTCTCTCTGCTGTCATGGACTCTGAGGGAAGTTAGCTGCCATATTGTGCGCAGCCCTATGGAGAGACCCATGTGACTAAAAAACAAGATCTGCTAACATCCACATGTGTAAGCTTGAAAGCAGATCCTTCAGCTTTAGTTAAGCCTTCAGGTAATGAAGCTCTGACCAACATCTTAACTGCCTCTTGAAAGACCTTGAGCCAGAAACACCCAGCTAAGCCACTCTGGAACCTGGAGATAATGTTTATTGTTTTCAGCTACTAAATTTTGAGAGTATTTTGTTATGCATCAATGGATGATTACTGCAGCATGCTCTCTGCTCACTAATGATGACGTTCCCCCTCAAGTCCTCCATGTGTCAAGGATGTTGCTGTCATAGTAGTTCTCCCAGGGCAAGGGGTCCCACTCACTCCTGGAATGGACTATTGCACCCAATTTCCCAGGAACTACAAAGGGGGTACTGAGATAGAAGTAAAGGATCTCAAGAGACTACATAGGACAGGATGAAAGGAAGAGTGGTTCTGAGGGGCTGTCTTTAGACACCACAGGAGTAAGAAAGGAAGAATCAGCTCTAGAGAGGACTAACCAAACAATGGAAAGAATGAGAGATTTGTTGAGCAATGAGATTGTAGTTGAGGTTTTCTTTGTTGTGGTTATTATAATGTTATTAGTACAATAAATAAAAATATCTTTAACATGGAGACACCTCAGAAAGAAACAGAAAAGCCTTGACCAGGTTGATGCCTTTCCTAGGCATTGCAGAGATGATTTGGAACTGGTCTATTTAGATCCTGGCTCTACTGCCGTCTTATGTGACCATGAGCAAGTGGCTTAACTTTTAACTGCCTCAGAGTTGTCTCCTACAAATGGGGCTTATTTGAATAGCTAAATCTTAGGGTAAGAGGGAAGATTAAATGAATTAAGATATGTATGTAACTTGAATAGACTTGAAGCAAAGTAAGTACAATAGAAGTGTGAGGTACAAGTCTTCCTGGTGCTTTGATAAGTGGGAGATCATCTCACCCTCGAGTTTAGCTGTAACTCTCTCACTTGAGTTAGCCAATTTCTTTTGCAAATAGTCTTCTAGGTCAGTTACACAGCATGTCTCCCTGTATCTTACACTGTTTGAAAGCCTGCACTCTTTACTTTGCTGTGAACTTCTGAAGGGCATACACCATGCCTTATTTACCTCCACATTTACACGTTAATAAAAAGAAAAGGCACCCCTGAAGGGTTTGTTGAATTAATAAGTATATCTGCTTTTTCAGTTGCCATTCCCCAAACTGTAGAACTGTGGAGATGGGTGTAACTGTTTCATGTCCCTCATATCAACAACCATTTCAAAGAATACGTAAGCTTTTTACTATTTTTTATGAATTCAGAAAGCATACTAATGAATATTTTCCAGTATTTCATGAACCCTCTGGCCTTCTCTGCAGGCTCTATGAAGAAAAAATGTGGAATCTCTTTAAATGTGGCCAAATGAGAAAACAGTTTTCTTTTTTTCTTTTTTTTTTTTTTTCAGATGGAGTCTTGCTCTGTTGCCCAGGCTGGAGTGTAGTGGTGCAGTCTTGGCTCACTGCAACCTCGGTCTCCCAGGTTCAGATGATTCTCTTGCCTCAGCCTCCTGAGTAGCTGGGACTACAGGTGCTCACCACCGTGCGCAGCTAAGTTTTGCATTTTTAGTAGAGACAGGGTTTCACCATGTTGGGTTTTATCAGTTCGAACTCCTGACTTCAAGTGATCTACCCACCTCAGCCTCTTTAGGTGCTGGGATTATAGGTGTGAGCCACTGTGCCCCATCTGAGAAAACATTATTATTATTATTGTTA